TGATCCATTAACCAACAGTTACTTTAGTCAGGAATCCTAATTTGTGAAATGGTTTGCCTCTTATTCCCATGGCCACATTCAATCATTTCCTGTAAGCGCTTATCCAGGTACAGAGTCGCGGGGGGGCTGGAGCCTATCCCAGCTGACATTTGGCGAGAGGCGGGGTACACCCTGGACTAGACTGTCACAGGGCTGACACACGGAGACAGACAACCATTCACACTCACATTTGCACCTATGAGCAATTTCCAGTCACTTATTAACCTCACCTGCGTGTCTTTGGGATTGTTGGAGAAACCCATGCAGAAGGGCCCTGACTAGCTGGTGCATTCAAACCCGGCGCCCTCTTGTTGTGAGCTGTCAGTGCTACCCACTGTACTTCCGTGACCATTCCCATGGTCTCCTCTCGGTAAAAGAGTGTAGCTAATCAGTAGAGGCTGGCAGTGAGTTGAGGCAACATGATCCAAAATCTAAAGTTTGTATGCAAATACTTTTTATCTTTATGGATTAAACTAATACCAAATTGATTAGAATACTGTTGACATCTGACACCTTTATCTTTTGTTTCTAGAGTTGCTGTTAATATGTTGTATCTCTGAAAGAGAGTTTGGCGTGTTATTTTTGACCAGGACCAGGACTGTAAATCACCCAAAAAGGAATCTAGTTGTAGTCTTGCACATAGTGACCCTGCAAGATCCCCAGTCTGTGCTAAATCTCATAGTGAGTGACTAAAAGCTCACATTGTCTTTAGATGTGAGAGGGTGTCAGATTTTAGTCTTTTAAATTATTTTCAAAGTCCCCAGTGCATGGTAAGCATTATCTTATGTTCATCAGATATTCAGGATCTTTATCTACCAGCAGTGTGATGCTGGGCAGGTGTGGTACTTTTGGGTTGTTTAATTCTTTTTTTAAGGTGCTTTGCAGCTTCCAGCTGAAAACGTAGTTGTTGAGAATGATTATACACTCTGTTTACTGTATTTGTGGCTGTAAACCAAAACAGTGAGCTAAAAGAGGCTAAAAAACTCAGTGGAGCTGCAGAGCTGGGTGACAGTTCTTTGTGGGTTTTTGTAAGAGTCCACACACAGTCGTTATTTAACATATTGATTATAGCTTTGAGCATACTGAGTAAGAAGGGATGGATGTCCTGTTTCCTGTTGTAGGATCTTGTACATGTTTGCCACAGACAGCAGTGCAGCACTGGTTCCCCCAATTCATTAGACCTAAATTACAGCCAGTGCATTTGTATTGTTTCTTTTTTTTTCCGTTTGCCTCTTGTGTCAGTGAATAATACTATTGTGCAGCCCGTCTGTGTTCGGAGAAGAGAGGGGACCCTTGAGCTGTGTTAGGAGATGGTAATCAGACGAGATGACAGCCACTGGCCCAAAGAGCAAACACTGACCATTGTTGCACTCAGTGTGTAAAAAGGCCTCAGTTGGTCTACAATATGTCACATCGGTGTTGTCACAGCGCCAAAATTCAGACCCATGTGCTGCTACTATCACAAGTAGAAGTTAAATAACTAACATAGGTTTCTTTATCCTAGTAAGTCATGAAAGTGACTATATATTTTAAGCCACTCACTGAGAATAATTACAAAGACTTTTAAAGAGGAAATGAATCTGCAATGTGCTAACAGCAAAACATGTTTGTCAGGATGAAACTTATCTATACATCTGCTCACTGGAGCGTGATTTCTGGTTAGAGAGATGCCACAGAACCTCTGGTTAAGTATATAATTAGAATTCTGACTAAGAATTGATTGGCAGCCTGACGCTTGAAAATGAATTTACAATAGTGCTATAATATATCTGTAATTATCACCTGGGCTGTCTATAAAATGTGTAATTTATCACATCTCAGATTGGGTATGGTTTTACCTTCACAGATAGGAACCTGAAAACCACATCATACTGCCTTTTCATCATTGTCTTTGATAGTGAAGTGCTCAGTTTGAAATGAATAGCCTTAGTGACGCATGAGAAGCGCTTGTAAAGCTGCATTGAACCTGGTTAAGGGGAATCAATAGCTATAGTCTTTCTGTTAAGCTGCTTGCTGAGCTCCACTCTGACTTGAATCAGAGAACTAGTCCACGTGTTTTGATCTGTAATTACAGGCTTTGCCGCGCAGATTCTACTTCTGCTTTTATTGGAGTTGTTTGTTTCAGTCATGTAAATTCTGTTTCTTGGATGGTATTCCTCACCCTGCTGCGAGGAGGCACCTCAGTGCATATCATTTGTCAAATTTTAAGGTAAAAAATATACTTGATATTGAAAAGGCTTGTTTGTTGCTTGCCGTATTATTATTTTTCTGAGCATACACAATTTCATAAAATCTGATATTTCTTATATTTGGGGTTAAAAATGAACAAAGGGTATTGCATTTTACCGAGACAGATGAGATTACAACAGGGACAATCAATAACTTTGGCTTTTACTGCAACACAATATTGTTTCAAACAGCAACAACAATTGAGACATCAAATATTTTTCACAGACTATATCTCATAAATTAGATTCTAAAGATCAGATATTATATTTTTCAATATATGCCAGATGGTCTTGCCATGCAGTTGGTCGGAGTTATTGATTTTATTTGTTTATCTGTTTGAATTTTGAAGCATAGAGGTTTTCTTTAATTTAAAAATGAATTTTATCAAGTTTTAGTGCTCAGCTGTCTCAAAGTAGCCTGGCATGCATCAATGCCAAATCATGAAGTTGAAACTGTTTTTTGCTGCGTTGGCGCTCATGAAACTGGGTCTATTTTGGGCCATGATTTATGTAAAGCAAACTAAAAGACACCGTGGAAAATGTTTTTGTGTGTGTGTCACGAAGTTAAACCTGTGAAGCGATTAATTAGTCACTCTAAGTAATTTCCAGATCGGAAAAAGCAGAGTTGCGTTTTAAAATCTCACCTTGTTGTGAGATGATATGTCATCATTCAGCTATTACAGTTTGTGTTTGAGGTGTTAATTAGACGTAAGATATTACACAAGCCTCCCCTTTTGATTATCGGTAGCATCGCAAACTTGTATGCAGATAATAGTTAAAAAATTTAAAAAACAAAGTTCCGAAGTGCTTTACAAAATTAAAAAATGATAACAACATTAAAAACAGTTTAAAAGTTTTGTGACAAGGAGCTACATATGAGAGAGTAAAATAAAGCAAAATAAAAAGAATACAACCAATAAAATTAAAATGAAGGAATGGCTTTGTATATAAAAAGGTTTTAAGAAGTAACTTACAGATAGAAGTGAGTTTTGGCCACAAGCCCTGTGAAAGCACATATATTAAAATGTGTTTTTAATAGGGGTTATAGATCACCTCTGAAGAGTACAAGTGGTTTTCAGGATTTGATTTGGCTGCTAATTAGGGTTACAGCTAATAATTATTTTCATGGACTACTTCATAAATTAATCAGACAATTCTTTTCATGATTAATCTTTTTTAAAAATAAAATGTTTGAAAATTGGGGGAAAAAATTCACGTCTTCTTTTTTTTTTTTTGTTCCAACAGTTCGAGCCCCAAAGATGATTCATATCTGGTTACTTAAAACAGTACAAATGTTTGGTAGTTATGCTTGAAAAGTGACTCAAGGGAATTTCACTCAGTTAAATCGACTACTTAGAGTCCAGGCAGCTAAGCTGCCAGGACACTATTGTAATCCTAGGTATTCTTCTTCTTTCTTCTTTCTTCTTCCGAGGAAATCATACTTCCCATGGGTGAAAACTCACCAAACTTTGCACAAAGGTCCAGTCTCATGCCAGATATGCTCAGCTGTAAACTCAAGCCAATAGTCCTGATGGTGGTGCTACAGGAAGCGCCTAAAGTTCAAAAATTCATAACAAATCAACCATACGTGCTACAACTTCACAACCTTTATCAAACTGTAGCCCCAATACTGAAGAAACTTTTGTACATTTGAACCTATTAAAAATTATGAAATTTATCACTGTTTTTTTCAAAAACTGTAAAACTTCTTAAACCTATCTCCTCCCACAATTTCAATTGACACCAAACTTGCTACAGAGCATCTTCAGACTGTCCTACAAACCTGCGTTTCTTAGATTTTTGATTTATCAAAAATTGAGCCTACAGTGCATCAAAATGTTTGACTGTAAAAGGTACTGTAAACATATACATGCAAATTCTTGCTAAATAAATCTTCAGTGTTCATGAAAAAAGGACAAAATTCTAGAGTCATGGTAGATGATGTGTGGCAAATTTCAGAATTTTATCTCAAAAACTGAATTTTTGACAGCATTTTGAATTTTGCTCTAATGTGAACAATTGGAGTCAATGTAAAAATGGCCATTTTAAACATCAGTTTTTCACTTATGGAGCAAATCAGTCATTGTTACAAACAAATGACCAACATCTCCATGCTGTCTAGATGCAATATGTGTATTTTCAGATTTTTGTTTTAATAACTGAGTTTTTTACAGTGGTTTCAAATCTGACTTTCCATGCACGGATGGCTGCTTTCCTACACAACAGTGAATGGCTGTGAAGCCACTGTTGAGTACTTGCCAATTAGCTCAGAGCGGTAGATGACTGTCTTAGGTTCCAGAGGTTGCTCAGAATTGCCTTAAAATGCCAGGGCCCGACCCATCACTGCGCAGCAGCTATAATGTTTTAACTTCTATTGCCATTATTTTAAAAGATTGAACATGGAAAAAAACAGTCCTTATCTTTTGTAAAGTAACATTCAGGGATCCTGTGGAAAACACATCTATGTTTACATTTGATTTACAATACAGGGAAATAAAAGAGGAAAGATGCATTAGTTGAAAACATGGTGTTACACCTCTCACAGGGTCACTGCATAAACATGTGAACTTAATGACCAGTATTGTTTTTGCCAATGTGATTCAGTTGTTCTGTACTTCTTCATGGTTCCTCTGTGTGGGACAGATACAGAGAATGTAGATAAACCTTATGTACATTGAACTGTGTGAGTAACCTTGACTTGCTGACTGAGTTGTGCATCTCTCTCTCTGACAGGTATGGATGAGCGGACCAACCAAGCGTCTTGGGCCCCAGGTGGCGAGTCCAGTCCCTCCTATGAGTCCTCCCGGGTAAGATGACCCCCACCTTAATGCCTCTGAGTGGCCTTTCTGCTCCACAGCACATCATTTAACACTCATTACATCAAACCGGCACATTCACAGTGTTTCAGTCTCACCTTATCCAGGCCACCAGTCAAGTTGTATGACCTGTAATAGACACATTTCTCTGTGAAAGGGTTTGTGAAGGGGTTAATGTCCTCATAGGAGGTGCAAGGGATTTGTTTATATGTCACCAAACATGCAATGAGGTTGACAGGAAAACCAGTAACTGGAATCTGATATTTTTGTGGGATAAAGCATCTTTTTGGTTGTAGATATATATATGTTAAATGTTTTTTTTTAGCAGTTAGTATGTGATCAGTTGTGGTGCCATTGAGGGGAAAACTTTGCTGCTGATCATTTTAACAAGGATTCAGTGTCTAAAAGAGGAAGACTAATAAATAATCATAAAACTTACTTTAAGTGTTGTCTACTCCTTAACCCCCTAAACTCCAAACTTACAAATTTAAGCCCAGCTCTCTGTTGGTATTTCACTGAAAAAAAGCAGGGCTGTACCCGTCTCAGAGTAATGACTCATACAATACGAATATTTGTCTATTCGTTACTTTTTCAATGTAGAGTGAGAATTTGAACGGGGGGTCGGCAGGACATGCAGGGTGACAGTGACATTCTCGTAATATAGTAAAAAAGCCAAGTAAGCCCTGCGAGCTAATGGGTGCTAGCTACACTAACACCGAACTGAAGATGTGCAACATTTCTTAGCGACATTAGATATAAAACAAAAGCAAGAGACTATATTGTGTTAAGTTGCTGTGAGCTGTAAATGCACCACTTCTAAGCAGAAAGTAGAAGATAACATTATCTAGAAGCCTGACAGGGCAAAGCTTCTTCTCCTCTGGACAGTATTGGAGAGCAGCATGAAAGCGAGAGTGCTCACTCTGCCACTAAATCTGGGGACCAAAACGTCCCTTGAAGTGCCCCAAAAAAACCCCAGACTGCTCAACTAAAAGAATCTCAGTTGACTGAGGGTGTCTTCAATTTCATAACATCAACAATAATTGTAGAGAGAATATTATAAGGGGATATTCACTAAGGATTATTTTCATTATATAGATTTATCTGACAGTTATTTTCTTGATGAACCAATTAATCAAATTATTGATTTACAAATGTGAAATAGTGACAAAATGCACACACATCCTCAGATGTCTTATTTTGTACGACCAGCTGTCCACAAAGATATTAAAGTTACGAGACATAAAACAGAAGCAGCACATTTGAGAATCTGGAACCGGGACGTCTTTGTTTGTGCTTGAAAAACTGTGGAAACACTTAATAAGATATCAACTTAGTTACTAGTTAATTTTCTGTCAATCACCTTATCGATTATTAGTTGCATCTCTAATTAGGAATGCATCTTTTAACCAGGCAGCTAACTGTTAACTGTGGTAAATCAAGCCAGTGCAGGTGATTCATGTGTTTAAGCTTGATTTTAATGGGATTCACTGACATCCAGTTGGCACATCTCCAAGGTGGTTTGTTCCTCCACTGGCCACTCATATTCTGTAAACGCCAGCACGAGTAAACTGTCATAAACTGTGAAGACATGATGGCTGATAGCTCTGCGTTCAACTTGTAATCCTGCACTCACAACGGGTTTACACATACTCAGTATCATTGGAGATATTGCAGTAGAGTATTTACAGTAAATTGTTTGTTTGTTTTTTCACTGCAAATGGCACCCAGATACTATTTATTGGCTTTATAGGATTTGGGGTAACACAGTTCCATCCTCTGTAGTGGTAATAAGAAAACTTATGCAGTCAGTTCAACTTATTCGTCATATGTAAAAGAAAACAAATAAAAAACAACATGAAAATATCAGGCAGACAGTCACTGTTTCAAGTTTGAGCAGTGCTGAGAGGGGGGGGGGGGGGGCTGCACTGACACATAAATTAGATAATAGTTTTCTGTAGCACATCCAAACACTTCTTTGTCCATGACTCATATGCAGCTGGTTTGAAGCAAAAATTAAGGTTTTGTCTTTCAGTGTTGTTGCAGTGTTGGGCCACAATTTGTTTGACTATGCAAGGAGAGGGCGTGTCTTCTGTGCAGGAAGGCAATCCAGGCACTGCAGAAAAAAAACAAGAAAGAAAAACAAGAAATATATATCAACAAGGAAGGACAAGCCTTCATTGTTGTGGCTTTAAGCCCAGATGAAGACCTACAGGGGTCGAGAAGTGTTGCTTCTTTGAATGATTGAGCTGCTACAGTCAGAGGTTTTTAATTATTCCTTCCAGTTTTTCTTCAGATTATATTATGATATTTTGTTAGTGATCACAGATCTACACAAAGGACGAGAATATCCTCATCTTTTTTCTTTAAGTATACAGTAATGTTGCTTAGTGACAATGCACACTTATCGCACCAAAAAATGCTATGAATGTGTATTGCATTGAAATAATGATAATAACAGTAATAATAATAATAATAATAATAATAATAATAATAATAATGTGTGCATATTAAACTGCATCTCTATTATTCAGTCAAAGCGAGAACATCTCACTGTGTGTGTGAGCAAGTGTGAACAGCTCTCCCCCTGTTTGTTTGTCCCTCACACGTTGGTTGTTCTAGATGCCCTGTATGAATTTCATTTAATGTCAATCTCCTGTCACTTTCCATTAGATTTCAGTTAAATGTCAGAGCCACTCGGGCTGCGTTACCTTGTTTATTTCTCTGTGCCCTTCCCGAATGAACATCTACAGGCTATGGTAACATAGGCAGCTTGATTTGAATTATAAGACAGAGATGCTTGAGATATCTGTGCTCCAGGTGCATATAAATGAGTGTTTCTGACATTGCAAGGCACAGCATCAGCCAGCAGACAGCTGTTTGCACCACCATAAGGCGTTCACGCAAACAAGCACATGCCACACTCTTCACACTCACACACACAGCTGCATACACACCTCATATTGATACAGACTTGATTTATATAGCCTATAGATTAAATTATAGATGAATTCTTAAAGAAGTAAGCAGCATATCTTGTGAAACTCAGTAGTCTACAATAATCTGTGTGCATGATTGAATTTTTTCATTTAAAAATGTGTTTTAGGATTGTTCTCTATCACAGTTATGACAGTGCTTTACCAGATATATTTAAACACGTGGTGGCAAAAGTCAATGCAGAGAAACGTGGCAAAAGAAGCTATAATGGTTGTCAGTTATTAATTTATGACCATTAAATCACGTTTAAGAATATAATAATTGATAGTGCTCTGAGTTGTTGCAGCACTAATTTGTAGTCAGGTGACTAAAAATGGAGTATCAGTATAGCATTTAACAGCCAGTGCTGCAGCAAGCCATTATTATTTTCTAAAAGTGAGATAAGCTGATAAAATTGACAAATTCTGTATATAGTAGTAGCATAATGCTCTTGAGGGCACTGTATCGGAGAGGTGTCAAACCAACCCAAATGATACAGTTCCTCTTAATTTTTATTTAAAAAATAAAATAAAGATTTTTATTTAAATCCAATATGTACTTTTTTGGCGCCCTATTTGGTCGCCTATCTAATCAATGAGGAATGCAGTAACACTTGACTATTGCTGCTGAAGCAGTTTGTCTGTTTTTGTCATCATACATACATGTGCCAGAATTTCAGTACTGAAATGAAAATCACACAGTATAAGGAAGGCACCTGCAGTTAACTGACAAAAATAATGATGTGTAACATAAGTGGGCAGGCTGGCTAAATATAAACCATCTAAGACTACTTCCTACATGTTTTGCCTCCTTTTTTAAAAAAGAGGGGGGCTGAGCTTATTGATGCACACTTTAGGCAAGTGGCTCACATTTACAACTACGAGTACTGGCAATCTTAAGTCACCATTTTACTCAGATAAATCTTAAAGAAACAATTAAATCTAAAAAATTCAGTATCTCACGAAACTGTGGTGTTAATGCTGGATGCTGAAAAGCTGAAGCTAAACTGAATTGCTGTCTTTGAAAGTTGAATGATACCCATGATATATGAAAGATGTGAAACACTGTAAGGTTATATGGCATTTCTAGCTGAAATTATGAATATGTAAGGACAAAAAAATTTAAAAAGTAAGTCCATTGTGTGTATATGAGTTGAAGCGTGAAATGGTTTTAATTCAGAGCATTTCATCCATTCATTTTCCCCTTAAAAACGTGGTATATTTCTTGATGTATGAAAGGTATGAATGATAAAAGTAATGTAATATTGGGTAATATAGTAACGTGAAAGGAGTTGCGTGCCAAAAAACATTGCGGAATAATAATACTAGTGTTCACACCCGATGAAAGTTATAAAATGCAACATTTTCACTTTAAAATGTCTAAAACTGTCTAAACATTTGTTATATATTTTGTATAGTTGTGTACTTAATATATTATTATACAAAATGTTTCCCACAATGTTCAAACCCAGAGGAATCTGTAATTTTATTCAACGTAACAGTCTGTTTCATTTGCATTATCATTTAATATATTATTATTAGTATCAAAGCATTACTGAAACAGTAGTAATAATAATATTTGAAATAGTAATCATAACATGAATAAACGTTAATAAATGAAAATATATTACCTCATTCGTGAACATGATTTTTGCCTGAGACATTCACGTAGATTTTCATTGGCAGTGATGTTTGTTCAACAATGAAGACAACAACTCCCATGATCCCACGCTATTTCATGATGTCCTCAAAGTCTGTCTTTTGTTGTTTGGATAGAGAGACCCCTAGCATTAAAAATTAAACATTGTGGGTTGAAAAGCGTAAATTGTATGTTTCTGCGCATTTGCAGAGATGATTATGTCTCTTAGATTTTAAGATGTCTTCTTGTCATTCTCTATTTCTGCTTGATTTTGAAAGTCAGTGTTAGCAGCAGCATTGTGTTGTAGAACATCTTGGTTATTGTTGTTTTCTGTGGTGAAAATAATAGCCTTGGCCATTAGGTGTTTCTAGGAATGCCTAGTTTTATTACTTTGTTAACTGAGAATCAAATAATTGATTAAAAATGAGAGCTATTTCTCAGATTATGCTCTATTCACAATATCTGTCCAAGGCTCTCTGAAGACATCCTCAGTGCTTCATCTTTCAGTCTGTTACAAAGGGAATTCAGTCTTGTCCCTGAGCTTGTTTGAGCTGGTGAGCTACGAGTGTGTGATCAGTCAACTGTGAACAGTCCCGAGCCCTGCCGTGCTGACCTTGGCTCGCAGCCAGCCGCTGTATCCTGGGCAGCTGTGGCTGTAGGCTGGCGGTCTGACAGTCGGGGCTGTGCCCACCACCGCCGCACGACAACCCCCACTTCCCCAGTGCCCTGCTCCGACTTGATACTTGACCCCACACGCATCCATCATGACCATATCATTACTTCCCAACCTGCCACATGCAGCCACACGTTCACCTGGGACGCAGCACAGAGTGGGGAAGAGATGACTTTTTAAATGTTGCAGCGAGTGATTGGGGGACTAGGCGTGATCTTCGGCCTGCACGCTGCCACAGTGATCTGACAGTTATTTAGCCAATAGTGCCAACGCAGCCCCGTGGCAGCGATGACAGCTTGTGTTAGTGTCTCAGATAGATGTAGGCCACCAGTGTTTGGGAATGATGAGGGATCTGTGATTGATGATCTAACAGTCCCAGAGGAGCAAACACATTTGAACACACACACACACACACACACACACACACACACACACACACACACACACACACACACACAAACACTTACACACCGAGCCTGGATTGACACTGGCAGTCATAACAATCAAAGAAGACTTGTTGGTGAATGAACGAACTGCTCATCACCACCAAGTGCTTTCTAATATTTAGTTCAAGGAATAGTTTGACTATTCGTGAAATTTGTTAATTCGCTTTCTGGCAAAGAGCTGAGATGATTAGATCAATCCCATCCCCATATCTGTCCTTTAAATGTAGGCAGGGCAGCCAGGGCTAAGAGTGAAACCGGGGGAACACCTTGCATTAAAGCTCCCTCATTAACACATGATATGTTGTTGGTCTAATCTGGAAAAAAGACAAAACATACAAATGACAATTCACCTGTTTGTTTCTTGGTTGAAAGTATTTGCCAGGACAGGGTTCCCCCAGACCCTAAAGAAGTCTTAAAAGGCGTTCAGTTCATTAATCTAAAAATGAGGCTTTAATGGGTATTAAAATATCTTAAATCAATCTATCAAAGGTCTTAAAAATGCTAAGAAATGGGATATAGGATTTTAGGAATAGTTTTTTTCTGGCGCTGCATTGTTAACTCTCAAAATGATTGGACACCCCTATTTTTTAAGTTATTTCCTAAATGCCATAATAATGTCACGTAGATCAGGATAGTGGAGCCAACAACACTCATGCGTTGTTTCCAGCCGTGATGTTCAGAGCAGAGGATTCACTGTCTGCTAGCTAGCTGTCGCTGTACTCTGGACGACATACGGAAGTGCAGATTCAATGAAAATTGGCTATTTAACCAAGATGAATCAGGTACAAGGCAATACATACTAGCTCGGTGTATTCTATGCAAAAAGTTTTTTCAAACTTGGCATGATGGGAATCAAAAGAGTGGAATTCCATATGCAGAGTGAGTCACAAATTGACAGAAAAAAAATCCCTCCGCCAACAAATGCTAGGTATTTTTCCACGAAATTAATGTTTTATGTAACAGTGGACATTTGGGCAAAAATGTCCCTAACCCTAAGCAATCAATGTTGGTTCATGTCTTTTTTCTTCAGTTTTGGTCAATGCAAAATTGGTCATAAATTCTATTATTAGAGGTGCTGATAAGTGTGGTTTTTTAAGCCAGGCTAGCTGTTTCCCCCAATTTCCAGTCTTTATGCTCAGCTAAGCTAACTGGCTGCTGTCTATATATGTTTAATGGACAAATATCAGAGTAGTATCAGTAAATCATCTAACTCACTGCCAGGAATTCCTTTAAGTCTGTAGTTTGAAATATTTTCCTTGTTTTGCTGCAGAAGAGAGGAGATGTTTTGTGCCTGCTTAGGTTAGCTGTGTATGTGTAAGTCTGTGTGTGTTAGTTTGCTTGAGCCTCTCTCACGGGGCTGTTGTTGTTATTGAGTCTGTTCATGGTGTGATTAACAGTATGTGCGGCCTGGCAGGAGCACAATAGGGAATCTCTGAGGATTCCCTCGACACAGCACAACACTCCACTGCCTTTGAAATTACTCCATCACCATTCACTCACAAAAAAAAAGATGGATAATAAGATTTACTTCTTTTTTTTTTTTTTTTTTTTTTACTGTATGTTGAATGCAAAGGGTATGAGTTGGTGAAAATAGCTCCATAGAAATGCAAGCCCACTGCTGCTCGGTCCCTCTGCTGGGAGTTAATGTAGTTTGGGGAGATGTATTTGACTGGAGCACAGGAGGATTTTCACAGGGCTTGGGATTAGCACTGTAACAGAGTATCTTTTATTACATGGGACCCCGAGTTTCAAAAACCATACTGTGACCGATATTTAGACCTAAGCCCCCGAAGCTGATAACTGTCATGAAAAGGCGCTGTCAAGCTGCAGGAGAAAAGGCAATTTTTTTAAGCTGCAGGTACCTTGGAATGATGTAGGATTGCATCTCTCTGTTTCTTCCTCTTCTGTGTAACAACACATTCTTATGAACAGTGGGCAGATATATAAACCTGTTATCATTATAGATAAAATGGGAGAATTTAAAAGGAAACTTTAAGATAAACAAATATATCATGTTTTTATGTTGTTTATAGATGTATTGCAATAAAGATAAAGCAAAGTGTTTTAGGGTCCAGCTTTCTAAAGCATCACCTGCTTTGTTGGTGATGGTAAGTTGACATTATGAAGCTCATAAGCCAAGTTATTTATTTATGTGTTTATAGCATAAATGCTCCTTAACAATAATGACATTTCACCCTGCTTTTTAAGACTTTGGCAAGGATTTAGATTTTCTATTTAATTACAACCTTTAGGAGAGCACTGAATCAGAAGTATTTTCATTACAAAACCAGCCCCCAAAATGGTCTCACAATGTTGTGGAAATGAATTGTTTTGTTTTTTTTAAGATGTACTATGCAGGATTTCCCCTAAAAACAATGTATAGACCCATAGAATTAATCCCTCTGCAGAGACTCTGCCCTCTGCCTGCCTGCGTATCCACACAGCACTCAGGTGAGGTTGGAGCTTAATGAAAACGTAGCCACTAGGCGCCAGACCATAAGCAGCAGGCATCCAAGAGACACAGCAGGGAAAAAATGCAAATATACTGAACCAAAATGCCAAATGAGAGTGAATTTGGGATTGGCCTTTACTTTCACTTTCATTGGCGAGCGTTTTTGCAAACAGTAACCAGCAATTCTGCACAGTATACCTTTACACAAATAGCTTATAAAGCAATTTATTTTACTGAGTCAATATGGTTTAGGCACACTTCAGTCTATATTAGGGTATGACACCCAGAAGCACCTGTCATGAGGCTCACCCAGTGTACATAGCAGTTAAAGTATTACATTTAATAAGAGGAGGGAAGTAAGAGTAATAAACAGTTGAATAATGATATAATAAACAGAACAAAGGTTAAATAAATGATATAAAACAGTAACAGCAGCAAGTATCATAACAACTTCCACCATCATTATCTTAATTGTAATCTATAAAGATTGCGCATAATAAAAAATAGCAGTGGAGCATTAATAACAGATTCTAGGTGAACGTAAGGCTGAAAAGGTGAGTCACTTAAAAGCCTCAATTGATGTCGCTGTCCACAGATTCAGATAAAACATAAAGGGAGGCACTGCAGGCAGGTAGCTTTCACATCCACCAGGCATGACTGATCTTTGATAACGTAAAAAAAAAAAAAAAAAGAAGAAAAAAAAGTAAAACATACCATTGTTGTTTCTTCTGCACAAATAGGTCCACTGAATACTTGTATCTTCATGGCACATCATTATGTTATAATGTAAACGTATGAATGTGAAACAACAGTAGAAATGTCAATAGCAGAGATGTTAGATTCTCTTTTATTTGTTTGTACTCGTAATGCACAATAAAGGGGACAGTTCATTAGCATAACCGACCAGTTGTGCTCTCCTCTTCCTAATTAGTGGTATGCCATATCACTCAATTAGTGAAGTTGCCCAATAATGTGCTTAATATTCTGATCTCTTCCCCCCAGGGTTTCGCTGACAGCCCTCATTACGGCGATCATTTGAGTGACAGTAGATTAGTGTCCCATGAAGGATTGTCCCCAACACCTTTCATGAACTCGAACATAATGGGTAAGTAAGTGATTCTCTTCAACTCACCCCTCACATGCCCTTTGGTAGTGGGAAGACATCCTGTTAGAAAAATTGCCTGATTGAGGTTAAGGCACATCATGCATCTCAAGGTAGCAGTACTGAAAGGCTTGCCAGGCTGCAGGGGCTATTTTTTTTCTCTTCCATCTCCTGCTGTCTTTATTTCCTCCCTTAATCCCCCTCTCTCGTCTCTCTGTATCTCCCTCTTCCTCCTCCTGTGATGACCCTCCCCCAGGCTAGAAGTCACGCCATCAGTATAGCTTTCTGTCATAAGAAGCCGTCTCCTAGACATCAAAACTGCCCTCAGCGACTTCTATCGGCAGTAGTGATTTTTTGGGTGTGAGGTTAAACAGACTTGTAGCAAAGACCTTCTCACACATGCACATCTTAGACATGTAGAATTTTATTATAGGTTATTTAACAGGGTTCAGTATTTCTGGCTGTCTTCACCTTTAGGTTTGTCAAATCATGTTTGTCCTCATTGTTTGCTTGGTTGAACCACTGCTTGGGTCCTGATATAAAAATGAGGTATTGTATATCTGCATTTAATATTTAATTTTAAGAGCAAAGCATTTGGGGATCGCCTTTTATGAGTGTTTGTTAGATCCGATGTACCCACACAGCCCTATCAGATTAGCCCAAGCACCCTTTTATCAACACCATCCGTCATGTTCACAGTATGCTCGTTTTAATAGATTTTAAACTGGATGTTATTTAATACTATTAATTAAATAAAAGTGAAAATAATGACTGTAATTTTTTCAGAATGATGTAATGCTTCTGCAGTTGTTAATGTTCAGGCTCTCTCTCTCTTCTTAGTTCTGTAGGTGTAGGTTAAATGTTTCTGCCATATGAAGTTGCAGAAGCTTTACATCTCTGCCATTTATCTGTTACTATTATGGAGATTTATTTTGACTTCTCTTCTCATTTGGGAACTAGTTTTCACACACTCAATCACATGTGGTGTTCAGGTGTAACAACTGACTCAGGTTGGTGGAGGCGTGGTAGCTGGTAGTTTATTGGCTTTTGTTAGAATAAATATACTGAAGATCGGCCTATTTGTTGACTTTCCTGCTAAGCACAGTTGTGTGGATGATTTTTTTAATTTATAAGATTTGTATTAGGGCTGTCCCGAATACCAGTTTTCAGGCATAGAGGCTGATGTGTGGTTGTGACAATTAGTACTTTTGTTAGAATGCAGGTCACAGTAACATTAGTAATAATAGCTAGAAAATAAATACATTGCAGGACGGCTAAGCTCACTTTCATATTCCAGGTTGTTTGCTGAGCTCGTTGTAGATTTGTGATATGCCGGTTTCCTCTGGCATATCTGTCTCTTGACTTTCAGGCAGTCACTCTTTGTAAATTTTGAAACTATTCCAGATGCCTGATTTTTTTCAACATCATGCTGACGTGTCTGTAAGCCTGTCACGGGTGATCAAACTATTGTAGTCAAAAAAGGCGGCCTATCACTAAGTTTAAAGTCCATGCCTGAGAATAACTAATAATTAATGTTGATGTATAATTGATTATGTTGGATTACTATTTCCTAGATTATGGGCTGCTTGAGAACTTTGGGGTGATGGTATAGAAAAAACAGAGCATTGGAATACTGATTCAGACATGGATAGGCAACGATAGAATCTTTGAAGCTTTGAAGCATTCGGGTCAGCCCTAATTTGTAGTTTGATAATGATTATAAAAAATTCCCCTTTTTGCAACCACCTACGTGTCTGAGTAAGTTCTCATATTATAACAATTAAAAGCTGTGTGTTATCCGGCTCTTTGGCCTGGCATCGTTGTGATGTGTAACCACTTGACAGTTTTATGGCTAACTACATCTCAGCTCATTATGTAATGACCCTGGAGACTGGTTTCCAAGAAAAGCCATTAGTTCACAAATGGGTGCTGCTGAATTGAAACAAAATCTTATCTTTCTTGTAATTGATCACATGACTGTTTCTCTCTCTCTCACACACACACACTGCGTAACCCTCCCCCTTTTCAACTGCGTCTGTAATTATGCTTACGAGCTGCAGAATATGGATGTGATCTGTTGCAGTGATATGTCAGATTTAGACAGGGTGATTGTAAACTTGGAATTGCCTGTGCTTATCTCAGGCTAGGCATTCAAGATGAGTGTGGTCTTATTAAATTGTTTTTCCACAGTAATATCTGGGATTTACATATCATTCAATCATGTGTGAAGGGTTATTCCTCATCGATGAACAGGGTAGAACAACCACACAACAGTAAAGTATACAGTTATACTACGATTTCTCATGCAGTATTGGTATTAATGGTTAAATCCAGTCAGTCAGGACAGTTTCTGAACTGCTGAACAGGTTGTTTCCACTCAGGAAGCATCTTAACATCTTAGGTTCTTGTTCACAGCACACAAGTCATTTCTGAACTTCTGAGCTGGCCACATAGTCCGTCGTTCCATTGGGTGTGTGAAAATCTTGGGCGAGATGTAAAGCAAATGGTTTGCTTGAGTCTGTGTGCAACAATAAAATACTTGCAAGTGTACTGGTAGATTACTTCGTAACTTGAACGCTGTAATTCTGTTGCTTACTACACAGTCACAATCACTGCAAGATAAAACAGCTGTTGTCATAGTAGGACTTCTTTGCAGTTCATCCTCTCACTGCCCCCTGTACCTATGGGGTGCCGTTTGTAAAGTGGCTCATGCTGAAAATAACATCAACATTTTGCCACATTTAGCTTTAAACAATGTTTAAAAAAGTGCTGTGAATTTTTTAACGTCACCTTTTACCACATTTACAGCAATATTTGTTAACTTAGAAATATATTAAATAGTTAAATCTAAATATTAAATCTAAATCTAAATGCTAAATCTAAATCTAAATGTTAAATCTAAATATTAAATCTAAATATAAATCTAAATGTTAAATCTAAATATTAAATCTAAATCTAAATGCTAAATATAAATATAAATCTAAATGTTAAATCTAAATGCTAAATATAAATATTAAATCTAAATCTAAATGTTAAATCTAAATGCTAAATCTAAATGTAAATGTTAAATGTTAAATCTAAATGTTCTGGGTGAAACTAAATATTTAGCTAATATGCAAATTCACACTGCCGGTCACCGGAAGTACCAAAATAAAAGCTCAAGATGGTCAGACTGTGTTTATAGAATCAAATAACGAATTAAAACCAACTTATAGTGTGAAATGAACACTTGAACACACATTAGCGTGATAATAACTACCTAAAATAACAAGAAACGTGTTTGGAGAAATTTTATTTGACGTGTACTTTGAGTTGTTAGTGTCCCTTCGGAGGGACTAACAACCTAAGCTAAGCTAACAACCGTTAGCTCTTAGCACCGTTAGCAGTGTCTGTAATGACTCATTAACTCTTAAACGGTCCGTTAAAAAAATATTTTTTTCCAGCGGATGTCTTAGTTACAACATGATTGAGCTAGCAAAGCAGTTTTGTGTTGCGATGTGTGGTATTTATTCAGTTTTGGGAAATCACGATGTCTAGAAAGCATCAGTGGCTGCAGCAGCAGCAAAGCTAACATAAGGACGTCATCTGTTAAAAGCCTCCCGTTGTCGGATACAACATGAAACTACTCCAGTTAGCTCAGTCATGTTGTAACTAAGACATCCGCTGGAAAAAAATATTTTTTTTCACAGACTGTTTAGACTTAATGAGTCATTACAGACACCGCTAACGGGGCTAACAGCTAACAGTTAGCCCCACTAATCTACGATAACCATGTTATTAATTTCAGAACGTGATAGTAATGTTTGTTCAATCATTGTGTTTATAGACTTTACAAACACCAGATTAGTCTAAACGGTGATATAGTGACGTGTAAAACGTGAGATATGCATATATATATGTAGCTAAACTCCGATGGTTTTCTACCCGGAAGTATTTGTAAACAACAAGGTGATTCCCTCCGAAGGGACACTAACAACTCAAAGTACACATCAAATAAAATTTCTTCAAACACGTTTCTTGTTATTTTAGGTAGTTATTATCATGCTAATGTATGTTCAAGTGTCCATTTCCCCCGATAAGTTGGTTTTAATTCGTTATTTGATTCTATAAACACAGTCTGACCATCTCGAGCTTTTATTTTGGTACTTCCGGTGACCGGCAGTGTGAATTTGCATATTAGCTAAATATTTAGTTTCACCCAGAACATTTAGATTTAACATTTAACATTTAGATTTATATTTAGCATTTAGATTTAACATTTATATTTATATTTATATTTAATATTTAGATTTAACATTTAGGTGCCACATTTAGATTTAGATTTAACTATTTAATATATTTCTAAGTTAACAAATATTGCTGTAAATGTGGTAAAAGATGACGTTAAAAAATTCACAACACTTTTTTAAACATTGTTTGAAGCTAAATGTGGCAAATGTTGATGTTATTTTCAGCGTGAGCCACTTTACAAACGGCACCCCATATGTACCAACACGTTGTTAAAAGAAAACTTCATTTCGTGCTATGTTGAATTCGTGAAGAAAACTTTTCTAGCATGTGTCCAACATTCTTTATGAATTGAAGTAAACAGGGACTGTGTTTAACAACAGCAAAACCATATGAAAGCATGCTTTAAAAAACACTTGTGCAGTATAATCCAAGTCTTATTAATCCAGTTTTATGCTCAGCACTTCCTAAACACATACATCTCACTAAAATGATTAAGTATAAAACACTTTGGACTATGAGTAGTGCCTGAGTATGCGCGTACGTGTGAGCTCTGCTTGAGCAGAGACCAAACGCACACACATCTCGACTGTGCACGAGACTGTTCGTGTTTTAAATCCTAAGGTTTTAGTGCAAATGCTTGTGTTTAGGAAGTACTGAGCATACGACTGGATAAATGAGACATAGATGATACTGCAGGATTTGTTTTAGAGTTTGTAAACTGATGTTTTGATAAAATTTTGCTTGTTAAACACAATCCCTGTTTATTTCAATAC